GAGCTCATAAACTTTTAATTAGCTACAAAGCGCCAAGAAAAAAACCACACAACCCAGCCATTGACTAAGAGAGTGGGACTTGGGAGTTGGGAGCTGGGAGCTGGGACCTAGGAGTTGGGACCTCGGAGCGGAAGAGTGGCTCTCAGTGATGCGGCTCGCTTCTGATTCTGGTTCTGCTTCAGCTTCTGCTGTGTGGTGTACGCCTTTGAACACACCACAGCAGAGCCACGACAAACAGATACTCGTTCACGCACACACACACACACACACAATCAGCAGCAGAGCAAGAGGGACTGAGAGGAGCAGTGCGAGGGGCGGAAGCTGATGCTTTCGGAAGGCGTTTGGTGGCATTCGGCATTTTGGTTGGTTGTTTATTAACACCTTTTACTTTGACTGACTTTTGGATGCTGATGGTTGTTGTTGTTTTTGTACTCTCCTCGTTGTTGTTCTTCTGTTTGTCGGTTGCTGTTGTTGTTGCTGTCGGGGCAATTCAAATAAAAGGGGATGCTGCTCCACTGCTAAATGGATTGATGGAACCATTTCGTGGAAATTTTGCGATTTTTCTTTGGCAGATTTTTGGCAGATTTAAATGAAAATCAACATTCCTTTGGGTTTACTATTGGAAACGAAATGGAAATAAAGCATTTTTCGAATTGTACTTCAATTTTGTATACCAGATGTGTTATTATTATTAAATTCTAACAAAAAAACTAAAAATAATCCAAAGGACCTTTTTTCTTGAGCTATTCTCTATGTTTAATCTCATGAAAAGTGTGTGCAGATCACTGTAATTTATTTTATTTATTTTTCAAAATAATGGTATTATTTCGATCAAATACTAAATTCAAATCAAAATCAAAGCCGGAAAACTTTTGTTTATTTTACAGGTATTTTCCTCTTACAAGAATACTAGACTTTTCTATTTTTTACATTTTCTAAAGTACACTATTTCCTTAAATTTTTCCAAAAATACCAAAATCACCAACAGAATACAAATATTGGTAGTGTTTCTTCCTTTTTTTGGTATTTTTGTAGCATGTATTTCTATCGACTGTAATCTTTGATCCTGAATACTGAAGTGGCCCCCCTTACAGAACACCAATTAAATCGCCTTTCACTTCTCAGCCACAGAGCATCCTCGATGTCCGTCCGCTGTTACGCTCCCTCCCCCGTCAAACCCCAACCAACATGACGACACACAACGCAACCCAGTCCAACCCGAACCGAACCAAACCAAACCGAAACGAACCGAACACCGAACCAACGAACCCACGAACGAAGAACGACAGCGACGACGACGACGCTGCTGCTGTAATTTTTCACACTCTCTCACACACAGACACACACGCGCGCACACAAATACCGAATGTTGTCACCTCTTACAACTACAAACGCCATGTGGGCTGGCTGGTCTGGCCTGGACCTGGCTCTGGCTCTGGCTGTGGCTCTTCGTTCATTTCACTCACACACACACACACTCAGAGAGAAGAGAGAGGGATATTTAGAGACATTGTCCAGTGGAACAGGGAAGGGGGTGTGTGCGGTGCGGTGTGGTGTGGGTGGGCGTACGCTGACGCCGCCATTGTGAGGTGTGGTGCTAACTAGCTGCCGCCGCGTTGCTCGCTTGCTCTCTCTCTCTCGCTCTCTCTCACTCACTCACTCACTCTTTATGTCGTGTGTGTGTGTATATTTGTGGTTAAACTTGTCACACAAGCTGAGCAGCAGGCAGGCAGAAGCAGCAGCCAGCAAGTCGCTTGTCGTCTTCTTCTTTCGCACTGTCGCAGACCCGAGACCCATATTGCCGGCCAGCTCTCACTTATAGGAAAGGCCCAGACAAAGCTTGTTTGCTTGTGTCTGTGCCTGTGTGTGTGTGAGAACGTGTGACAAAATACATTTGCGTTGCCGTTTTTGCTTTTTGGCTTCGTCGCTTCTTTGTCTGCTCTCTCTCTGTATGGGTGCGCGTGGGCATGGTGTGTGTGTGTGTGTGTGTTTGGCTGTGTTTGGTGTTTGTGTGTGACTTCTGCTTGAGCTTTTTGCCTTTCATTTGCACGCCCCCCAGTCTCCATGGCGCCGTCTCGCTTGCACTTGCGTTATTTGCGCGCAAAACTTAGCGTCAAGTTTTTGTCACACGGCGGCGGCGGCGGCGGCACGGCACCTATGCTTCTGCTGCTGCGACGCTTGCCGCTTGCCGCCTGCCGCCTGCTGCTGTTGCTACATCTCTTCTGCCACTGCTACTGCCACTGCCGCTGCTCTTCTGCTTTTTCGCACCAGCTCTCTGCCGACGCCAAACCTTTATCCCGTCTAAAAATCTTTTCATTTACATTTCGGACTCATAAAAGCTGGCAAAGCGGCTAACAAGCGTTTAGCTGGGTTGGAGGGGGTGGTGGTGGTGGGCGGGGGCTAAGAGGTGGCGACTGACGCTCTGCTTATGTAATTTTAGCTCAAGGAATTCAACCGAATCAAAGATAAACCCAAAGCAAGGCAGCTTCTCGTGGACTTTTTCTTGATGTCCTTCTCTGTCCCAGGAATTTTGGTTTCTCTCTTAAAAAAGCACCTAGTCGAAAGCTTTTCTAAGGTTTTATCTTGTAATTCTTCTTTCGACTTTCTTCTTCAGCTCAAAAGCTTCTTTTGAGATTTAAAATGATTTTTCCCCGCGAATTTGTATACCTTTTTCCAAAAGTCTCATACTTTTTTTTAGTCCCTTCTCAAGTGTTTTTCCTCCTAAGACGGCAAATGTTTTTTGTTTTGTTCTATATCCGTAAATTAATTACTTTACGCAAAAGAAAACAAAAATAAAACTTGATTTGTATCCATTTCTTTTTCTTTTCAAGCAGTTTTTATCCTTCGGGCTTCCATGAAGAATCGTACTCTTATCCTTTACAGCAGTAAATGAGAAACAAGTTTTAGTCCTTTAAAGTTAATTTTTGAAACTCATTTGTTTATTTTATTTTCTCTTAAGGCTATTCTTTTTGTATAGTTTTTTTGTTTAATAAACTTTTAGGATCTTTTAGTCGTCGTCTCTCATTCAATCTTGAATTTGTCTTATTTTTATTAATTTTTGTTCCATCTTAGGGTTTTCCTTCTTCTTTGAGTCACTTGCCCACTGGGAATGCCATTTGATCGTTTAGAGGTCACTGTAGGTCAACATATTTGGCGTCTGCTTATCTCTGCTTCTCTCTGGCACTTCGAGCAGCATCTGCCACCCCCCTTATGACAGCCCCAAGGCACCGAACACCGCACCATTTTTGGGGAACATCAAAAACCATTTGACCATTGAAGCGCATTTTTCGCTGGCGCGTCATTTGTCAACTTGGGTGTCCTGCCCCCTACCCTCTACCCCACCTCCGCCTGAGTCCGCCTGGGTGGCTGTGATTTACTACATGCTGCTTGCCACCACCCCACCCCCCGGCGCTTCCTGTCGCTTGTCCTCCTGCTGACAATGCTCTTCCTTTAGCTTTTTTTCTGGCCGCTCTCTCTCGCTTTTGGCTGTCTCTCTCGCTCTCACTTGGAGGAGGCATTTTTCTGGCGCAGTGCACTTTCTGGTGTCGGTGTCGGGCGCCTTGTTACTTCTAACACGCTTCCATGCTGCTTGTCACACGCCGCGACGTCGACGCGGCTGACGCTAACGTTTGCGCCGTTGCTCTCGCTGGTTGGCCTTCCGCTCTACCCATCCCCACCCCCTCACAACCTAGCGATGATCATCCAGCTGCTGTTGTTTGTCACATTCACTTACACATGGACACACAGAGGGACACTCACACACACTGATGCCAGCAAAAGCGTCAACGCAACACTTTTGGTAGAGTTTTTGGTTTTCTTATTGGAACAGCAGCAGCCGCCAACGCTTCGGCCGCAGTCAGCGCCTCAGTCTCAGTCACAGTCTCAGCCTCTGCCTCTGCCCTGCTCTCTCATACACGAACGAATCCCAGCCGCCACCACACCGGTGCCTCTCACTCACTCTCACGCTCGCCCGTCCGTTCCGAAAGCCGAAGCGAGAAACTCAACACAGGCCAAGTTCTCGCTCTCTCTCGCACTCATGGCCCGTGTGGGCCTCTGTGTGTGTGTGCGTGTCGTGTGTATATGGCCATCTCGCTCGCGCTCGCCCGCCACTCGTTGGCTGCCCGACACACCAGCAGAGCTGCAGAGCACCGCGCTGTGTCGCTCTTCGGGGGTTGCGCTGCCCGTCTGAGTGTGTGTATTTTACAGTTTGGAAGCGACCGGCGAGTAGTTCGTATCGGCATTGTAGCAGCAGAGCGCCGTCGCCCCGTTTTTCGTTGTCGTCGTCGTCGTCGTTCTCGTCGTGATCTCAGTGTTCAGTAGCTCCAGCGCCCAGCGTCCAGCGTTCCAATCGCCTCTCGTTGTTGTCCCGCTTTTGGGGACGGTTTGCCATCCAAAAATTTTTTGTTGTTCATTTTTTTTGGGTTTCACTTTGTTTCTAAAACAACAAAGCAGAAGAGTAAGAGAGAGGAGCGGAGCGGTGAGGAGAGGAGAAAGAATTGTAGTTGCAACAATCCGTACAACCAGAAGCCGCAGCAGAAACAAGCAACAAAAACACCGCGTCGCGGCTGACGTTTTGCCGCCGCCAAAACAGCAAAAAAGAAAAAACACAAAAAGCGCTGACAAAAAAAGAAAAACCAACCAAAAATGCAAACAAAAACAACAACAACTAAAAAACGTATTTATTTTTTTTTAGCAAGTTTCAAAATTCTGTTTGTATAATGAAAAACCAAGAAAACCCCAAAAAAAGCAAGTGACAAAAAGAAAAGTTAACAAAAAGAGAAACTGAAAAACAAAATACAAAAACCGAATAGAAAACCCAAACAAAATTAAGAGGAAAAAAGCGAGAGTGCAGAACAAGGATTAAATGGTGTGTGTTGTACATATATTGATGTGAGTGACTGTGTGTGTCTAAAAGCAAAAGCGAATCAAAAAAGTACCTGTCGAACAAACAACAACAGCAACAAAAACCACAACAACAACAAGAAGAAGAAGAAGAAGAAGAGCAACAATTGCAACACTAAGAACAACAAAAGCAACAAGAGAGAAGATCAGAAGAAGAAAGCTTTCCCGAATACAGCTAGAACTCACGAAAGCTGCTTAAAGCTTCGCCGCTGGCAGAGACCACTGCAACTGTAAGGAGAGCAAGCAAAAGCACAGAAAGACAGACAGCTGTGTGGATCCAAAGGAAGAAAGATAGAGGAGGATCTCTTGCAGTCGAAGGATACACGCTTCCCACAGCGGTAGAGCGGTATAGCGGTAGAGAGCGAGAGAGTGGATGAGAGGAGGACATTTCTGCATGACGCACATGGTTCCAGTAATTGTAATGTAATGAGATACGACGTCCAGGAGCTGCTACTTCATCAGTCTGCTGAGGATCCATTCGCCAGGTTCGCAAATGGGATGGCATATCATCCATTTCTGCAGCTAACGCAAAGACCCACTGACTTCAGCGTATCCTCGCTGTTGACGGCGGGTAGCAACAACAACAACAGCAACAACAACAACTCCTCGAACAGCAACAACAGTAACAACAACAACCCGAACAACAACAACAACAACAACAACAGCAACAGCATTGTTGCAGCAGCGGCGGCAGCAGCAGCAGCAGCAGCGGCAGCAGCACATCTCAGCAGCAGCTCCCCCGGTGGGGCAGGTGGTGCCGGTGCCGGCGGTGCGGGTGCAGGTGCGTCTGCAGGTGGTGGTGCTGCCAGCTATCACGGCAGCTCCCCATCGCAGCTTTCGCCGCAGAGCAACCACAGCAACAACAACAACAACAACAATCATAGCCAGCAGAACAATAACAACAACAACAACAACAGCCACAGCAAGGGACACTTGACCACCGAAGAGCCACGATCCCCAACGTCCACATCCACGCCTCCACCGCAACAACAGCAACAACAGCAGCAGCAGCAGCCACCGCCGCCGCCTCCACACCCACACCATCCGCCACCATCCTCAGCGACAGTGCCACATCCCGCCCATCATTCACCCAGCGTGGGCGCCACGGGAGCCAATCCCCATCCAGGGCCAGCGGCAGGAGCAGCGCCGGCCTCGGGCCATCACCATCCGCCGCCTCAGCAGCAGCAGCAGCAGCAGCAGCAGCATTTGCCACCGCAACAGCAGCCGCCACCACCGCCGCCGTACTTTCCCGCCGCCGCTTTGGCCGCTCTGGCCGGTAGTCCAGCCGGACCACATCCAGGGCTGTATTCCGCCGGTGGGCTGCGCTTTCCGCCGCATCCCGCCCACCCGCACGCCCACCATCCGCTGGGCACCGCCTACACGACGGCCGAGGACGTGGTCCTGGCATCGGCCGTGGCCCATCAGCTCCATCCGGCAATGCGACCGCTGCGCGCCCTCCAGCCCGAGGACGATGGCGTCGTCGATGATCCCAAGGTGACGCTCGAGGGGAAGGATCTGTGGGAGAAGTTCCACAAGCTGGGCACGGAGATGGTCATCACCAAGAGCGGCAGGTGAGTGATAATCTGTTCTGTTAACCCTGCCCCTGCCCCTGCCCCGACCCCGACCCAAGGTCATCCCCAGTCTCAGTCTCCAATTTCTGTCTGCCCCCGTCTGGGGGCACCATCATCATCAGCCCCGGCCACTTGAGCACGTGTGGCGACGTCTCAAGCTCCTGGGAAATGTAGGTGAACGAATGCAGTGAGATGCCTCATCCTCCTGCCTCCTGCCTCCTGCCTCCGAGGCAGGAGTATCTCTTGAGAGGATGATGATGTCGTCGTGGCTGACATTCAAGCTGCGTTGGCGCGTGAAAATGCGTTTTGAGCTTCACACCTACTTGAGAAAGTGTTCAGACAAGGACACAGCACGATACCCGAACCCATAGAAGCGGATAAGGAGACGTATGGGCGGACAGGCGGACGAGTGTCAAGTGAATGCCAAGTGAATGCTATGGAGATACAATGATAGGACACTGTCCATCACACTGTGAATACTCTAGAGGGGAAAATTTTGCAGAAATACCAATAAGCTTTTTGGACTCTGAATGAATGATAGAAGAATGAAAATAAATTTCGTAATTTCTTGTAGAGTGAAGCTCGATTAATAATTCGAGTGTCCAATCCTGAAGTGCGATATTTATGCAATATTTAATTGTGTTAAATAGAAATCAACAAAGGTACTCATAATATTTTCCTATCCAACTTAAGGAATGCTCCTTTTACTCCTTTTACTCCTTTGCCCTCTTTTTAATCATTCATTCAGTCAGTCAAATGATTGATGATGATTCATCGCTGCTCCACGCTGCCTCGACTCCTTCTTCCTTCTCTGTGCGGCATGCAATTGGGCCTGCCTGCCACACGCCACGCTCTGCATTCGCCTGCATTCACTCCCGCACCCGGACACCCGCACACTCGCACAATCGCACTCACGAGTGTGATTCATTCGCCTCGAACCAAATTCAATTAGCTTCTGCTGCGTCTCTGTGGCTGCTGTTGTTTTTTAAGCTACAAATTGCTTGACGCCTCGGCTAAGCTTCTTCCTCCCTCTGCTTCTTCTCACCATTTTCATGGACATCCAAGGTGCTGGCAAGGGGTGGGCGTGGCAATCGACTTTGCCACAAAGCAACAACAACCAACAACCACAAAGAAAATAGAACGAAAAAAGGAAACGACTCTTTCGAGTGAGTCGCAATCGAAAATACTCTGGAAAACGAATGGGGAAAACGATATAGTGCTCACTATTTAAACGAGAATCAAGAGGTTACTGCAATAGTTCCTGTTTAGTTGGGGATTTTCTGATGAAAGGAAGAGGAATGCCGCACATTGTATTCAGGTTTCTTGATGCTCTCAAATGATGACACCTCCCATGCCCATCATAGCTACAGATTATAGTGTTTCGATCCACTAAAGTATCTGATAGATATTCCAGGAATCATGGTATCTGCACAGCTAATGGAATGCTTTTGCTAAGGAAACAGTCTGAATGACACGCGTGCCTCGACATCAAGATACCTTCGCTGCTAAGCCACACTGGGATAGAGATGGAGATGGAGAGAGCAGGCGTGGCATTCTTTATGGTTCTGCATTAGCGGTGTTCTTGTATCTTTAGATACTGTTTTATTTTCTTCTTGTTTTTCTGCAAGAAAAACGATTCCGATTCTAAATCGAAAATTTAGTAGCCCCACACCTACAGGGTATCCACAAAAACAATAACGAATTATTTGCAAATAGTTTTTGTGTGCAGAAAAGTTTGCGGGTTGGCGGGCTGGCGGTGTCTGGCCAGGTGTCTGGGCCCCTAACCACGCCCCTCTCGTACTATATATATATATATATGTATTTGTATGTATTATGGATGGATATATAATGTATATAGTTTCAGTTGTTGTTGCTTGTTGTTCGCACTTGCGAAAACGAAGAAAAAACCACAAAAAGTTGATGAAAATTATGGGATGCATATAGAAAATCCTTAAGCTCATTAGCAGTTTGAAGACTTGAAGTGTGAAACTAAACCAAGTGGCCATCCATGAGCATAAACCACTCCAACAGCAACCGAAAAGTGGGGGCTACCCCCGCCACCGCCACCGCCCACGCCCCGCCTCCTTCTTGGTAGGGAAGGGTTCCATGACCCGCCGCTCGGCCTCTGGTTGTGTTTTTTGTTTGATTTTTTTTTTCGTGGCTATGGGAGGCTATGGATGGCTACTGCGTTCTACTACGAGTATCGTTCCATTCAAAGTGTGGCATGCAATTGTTGTTGCAGCACGAGGGAAGTGGGGGTGTGTAGCTCTGCCTCTGCCTCTGCCTCTGGCTCGGGCTCGGGCTCAGGCAAAAGTTTTTAAGTACTTGTACCTCGTCAGCCACTCACACAAACACTCACCACACTCATGGGACTCGCACTCGTACTATTCACACATGTGTGTTTTTGCAAGTTGCAACTTTTTTGCACGCCACACATTGCTGCTGCTGCCGTTGCTGCTGTTGCATACCACCAGCTCCTGTGGGAGACGTGCGAAAACGGCAACAACAAAACGGAATTATTGTTGCTGTTGCTGTTGCTGCTGTTGTTGCCCCCATCATCATCATCATCATCAATGTCAAAATTATTGTTTTTCCTGAGCCGTGCTCCCCCCGCGGCCCCTTCTTGTAACACCACCCCCAGCCAACGGCCCACAACCAAGAGCCTACAGCCCCTCGCTCTCACTCTCTGGATCTGTGAGTGCCACTTGAATGTTTTGTGAGTGGATTTGCATTGATTCGCTTCGTTTCAATCGCTCTTACTGGGTGTGGGTTTTTCAATGCTTAAAAATGGTTCGAAAAGTCGTTTTATTCACTTAGTTATGTCTGGCGATTTATTTGAATCGTTTGTGGCGTGGATAAAGTCATCCGATTTGGAGGCAACACCCAGTAGAGCAGCTATAAGGATATTCGGACGCCTCAAGTCGCTGCTTGTTACATGCAGAGCCGACCGATGGGCTCTGCCGCATGACGCTCGAGCGAAAGAACAGAAGTTCAACTAAATATCGTGGAAAACTAGAACTGAAAGTGTCGGATGTGATTCAAAGTGGCCGTTCTTCATGACATTCTTGAAAATGCCAATGAAAAATGAGCCTATAAGTATTTCTTGTCTTTTCCAATTTATTTTCTCAATGGATGAGGATACATTTTGCTAAATTTAAATGTATCTTAACGCTTCTACCACGCCCTCTAGTACTCTAGAGTAAATTAGAGTTTTCCCCATTCTTCACCCCAATCGTACCCACTCTCTGTCTCTTCTACCTTCTTCCCTGATCTCTTCGATTCCCTGGGCAGCACTCTAGCCCCCCTTTTTATGCTGGTATCCGCGCCTCTGTCTCTGGCAATTAAATCGCTCGAACGAATTGCGTGAAATCTTTGTGCCGCCGTCCTTCTCTCACTCTCTCTCTGTGACTTTATCAATTAATTGAAATTGCTGTCTAAACGCAAATAAATAAAAACCTTTGCCCCTCTAGCCCCCTTTACATCGCCATAGCCCCCCTTCCATAGCCACTTGACGACACTTTCAAACGACAAAAACAACTACAAAAAAGATGCGGGAATCATGAAAATAATTCTGAAATCTATAAAAAAAATGCCAAAAATTATCAAGTGTTGACCTCAGCAGAGGCCCAACTGAGGGAAGAGAGAAAGAGAGGGGCAGAAAGTCAGTGCTGGTGAGAAAAAGAGAGAGATAGTGCTCTAGAGATTGGGGAGATACCGACAGGAAGGAGGCGACTGGTTTCTCGCTTTGATTTGCCAGAAATTTCAATGATTTTGAGACTAATTGAAAACGCCAATTCATAGTCGCTGTCTGGTGTGCCCCGAGGCCCTGCCACAGCCCCAAGGGGGGGCGGGTGCCACCCCTTTGCTTGGCTTTCCTTTCCATTTCTTTTTTAATTGATGACAGACTTTGGTCTCACATAAGAGGGGCGGCAGGCGGCAGGCGGCAGGCGGCATGCGATAATGTGACAGACAAAAATATTTAATGACACGGCAAAGGACACACGACAGACAACAGGCAACCCTCCTCCAGGGGCCTCCCGCTCCCGGTAAGGGGTCAACCCCTGGGCAACCGCCTGTCAAAGTTCACTTGTTTAATTTTCATAAATAAAAATTTTTACCCCCACGCGTTTTGGGTAAAAACTCAGCTGACGACAAAACGCAATCAAAGTGCACTGGCCCTGGGTGCCAGTGCCAGCCCCTGCATACCCTCTAACCCCCGGCGCCACCCACGACCCCCCGCGACCCTCTGAACCCCTCCCGGAGCCCTCCTGCCAGACCAAAAGTTAGGCTCAATTAAATGGGCGTGTCTGCCTCCCATTTTTAGTATTCTTTCGCTTTTCCAAGTCGTTAGGGAGAAGGGAACATTTTGCTACAGTACACAACCCTTGAGGGACGTCTCCCCTACCCTACCCCTGCCAGTCCTACTCCACCATCTTGGAAACGTTTTTCATAATTGTGTTAAAATTGTCGTCTTGAGAGCGGAAAGGGGGGAGTGGGGAAAAGAAACACACACACACACACACACGCAAGCAAAGTGAAAGGAGAGTTTCGATAGCAAGGAAAGTACTATAGAGTCGGGAAAAAGGTGAAAGATCACGGTGGAGCAGGGGCTGTGTTTAGTAAAATTATCGATGTGCTAAGTTGACAAATACGCGAGGGCTATCCCCCCCACTAAATTGCACGTAATTTTCCATCACGGGATACGGGACGGGGACGGAGACGGGGACGGGGACCGGACCGTAGGCTATCCTTTGGCATTTCTCGGACTCGTACCGAAAGCGGCGCAATTTTCCCAAACGGGGCTTCCATCAGTTGATAATTTCGCAGCCCTGATGAAAAATGCATAATAATTGGGCATAGCCATGCATCCACGCCCCCCGCATACATATGTCCCATATGGGGATTGTATGGGGGTACACTCGCATGCTCGAGGATTGTGGGAATCGGGCTCCTCCTGGCTCCTGAAAAATGCATGAGTCGCTTGTGTAATTTGCCCGTAA